ATTCAACAGCGTAATAGTGATGACTGCACGATCATTGTTATTCGGAATTTGGACCCAATTGCTATCCAAGGTAGCGCGTGTCCAGAGGTCGTAAGCCCCGCCAATGCCAACAATTGTTTCATCCTTTAATTGCATGACTCCTCTAACCCAACCGTCAGCATTCGAAACTGGGACCCAACTACTGTTCAACGTAACGCGTGTATAGAGCTTACCATCTGGACCAGCACCAAGGATCGTTCCATCCTTTAACTGTGTAACAGCACTGACTGGATCGCTATTCGCAACTTGAACCCAGTCGCTGTTCAAGGTAACGCGTGTGTAAAGCTTGTTATCAAGACCAACACCAAGAATCATTCCATCATTTGAAACTGGTGAAATACAAAAAAAACAATTCAGGAAATGTTATCTTCAAGATAGGTGCGTGTGAAATATGTACGTATCTGGATGAGGTGTGGTGTGAATGAGTGTCGGTATTTTGATTAGTCTCTAAATGACGCACAGAAACTCGAATCTAACTGTACCCACACGCATAACTACCTACTCTCAGGATGGACACTGAGTATTTATCGTGCACTCATCTACACTCATACTCTGGACTGCGGTTCTGTCCGTTACTGATTTCTATCGAACATCCTAGACCATTAGTTTTATTATGACCCACCATGAGCCTTCTTAAGTTTACGGCTCTAGACTCTCTTTGGTCAGGTTGTATGAAAAGTATGAAGAACCGATTGATTACCCGAGGTTTGCGTCTTCCTGAGATTTCATTGGCTTAAAAAGTTGGATGAATCAGATCATGGACAAACACCTCATTTTCTGTATCCTGTACTCATCCTTACATAATAGAGAATGAGTCAAAATTCAGCAGAAGGCAAAGAAACATTTGTTACACATGTTAATCAATTATTTCTATAAAACATCTTACCTGAGTCAACACGCTTTCCTATCATAGCGCCAAAGCTTTTCCTTCTATCTGCATCATCAGCTAGCTGTTGCGCGATACGTCGTAAAAACATATTGTACTGCTGATTCTTGCGATAATTGTATCCATCAAATCGTCGATGCAATGCTTGGCTGTAAGGATCATGTGTTGCAACTGATGAATGCTTTGCAACAGCTGCAACGAAAGCTATAATCATCATCACAATGGTAAACGAACGCATTGGTATGCTGTTGTTTGTTGTTGTTGAGTGAGGATAAGATTGTATGTGATCACTAACTGAAAATGATCTCCTTTTATAGTATCAGCTTGGTATACTGTGCATTCAACCAGAACCCGGCGTTGTTTTAAGCGAACAGAGAAGGATTCTTTCGTTCTTTCTTTTCTTTCTCACTGTAAACATCTATTTTCTCTGTAACTAATGACCCAAATCTTCCTCATTTCTAAAATCAATCAACCAGAACACACTACCCACAAAAAATGTTAAGACTAGGTATGGCATGTTAACTTTAACGTTTAAAGTAAAGCTTAATAGTTATGATGTAAAAAAATGTTTCTTTTAGTCTAAACGTCATACTTTTTCTGCTGGATGACGGAAGATCTGTGGTTTGAGCTCCATCAACCAGGCATCTTTCTCTCATTGATGTCACTGTAAGAAAGACATAAAAAAGTATGCTTAACGGTGCAGAAAACACTGTGACTTGTCCTTTACCAATGCTTGTTGCAAAGTTTATTTAAATACACTGAAAAAGTGTAACAGAAGCCACTGCTTAAACAATGATTCAGTTTTTCTTCTATACTCGTTCAGAAAGTTGTATGTTATACATGTAAGACTTAAAATCAATACCGTTTAAACGACAAAATCAAGAATAATATCGATCGACGAAACCATATCAATTTCTCTGTTGCCTTGCTCTTCGAAATTACTCGAAAAATAGTTTTTACTCAAGTTTCGCCAATGGATCAATGACCAAGGTATACTGTTGAATGAACAAAGTGCATTTCGTCCAGAAGTAACAGGGCAGTTAGATCGGTAGCAGTTGTGGACCAGATTGAACAAAGCCTTTTGAAATATACAGCTGCTGATGGTCTATTTGTAGATTTTCGTACAGCATTCAATCAGTTATGGTTTAACAGACTATGGCTCAATTTAACTAAATTGCATTGCCCTATGACATTAATTTCCTGGTTGTGGTATTATCTATGCAAATGAAAAGCATTCATCAACATTAAATCTAGCTAAAGGATTTTCACAAGGCAGTTTGATCGGACTTATTTTGTTTATGGTTTATCATTATGATCTCATCGAATCGTTGATAACGTTTGAATGAAAACATCTATTTGCGGCAGATTCTTCGGTGACTCCAACGAACATGGTCGAAGATATTGCGAAGCAAATCGTGCAAGTTTTTAATCAACTGATCGGTTATTCAAAATGCTGGAAGCAATCGATTAACTTCAGTAAAACTTATTGGATATTATTCAATAGACAAGTTGTGCTACTGTTATCAGAAGTTGTTTGTCAGGGACATCATATCGATCATGTTACAAGTTTTAAATACTTGGGTACTATTCTTGATGAGAAACTTTCATTCATTCCGTATATCGACTATATCAGATCGAAAATCAACTCGAATCTGAAGATTTTCAAATGCTTATTATCAACCAGACTAACCCTGTGAAAAAATTAACTACAGAATGTTCAATGTTTACATACGTCCCTATTACCAATCAATAGCCGAACTGACTGCACCCCATTGGAATAAACTGACCAACACAATCATGAGAACAAATTCTAATATTATTCAAGATTATTCACAACTTACAATGAGAATCATATACATTTGAGATCTAATAACTGAAGATCGAATGTCTCTTCTCGATTTTACCTTATTTTTTCCCCGTTGATCACTCACGACACATCAACCGGTGCTTTTCGTGATGTTGTCTTCGCAGTGGCTCAATTTTATTCAAAATCATTAACTTTTATCTACGTAATTAGGCATTCTTCGTAACACGAAGCATATTACGTCTCTTTTTCTTCTCCTTCTTTTTGATATTATCTCTTGATCTTTACACCTGTACGCTTCTCTTTGTTATATCAAATTGTTTTTTTTCAGGCTACAGGAGCGAGTTCGCTCATAGCCATGGGATATTGCTGACGCCATCCCTTAATAAATAGCTAGACGGAAGAAAAAGAAAATTGTTTGAACGGTGCGTGATTTATCAACATTTGAGTATCATAGTTCTAACACAAATTGAATAGCGTTGCATGCCTTTTTAAAGGAGAATCGACGGGTGAGAAATCGACTCGTTATCGAAAGGCGTTTCTATCCACTGTTAAAGTGCTTGAATTTAAAAGATAGCGAACATTGATAGACTATATGTCACTAAAAATAGTTTACAAATCAATATGTTCATTCTCACGCAGTTGAGTTTCAAATAAATGTCTACGTGTGACATTGGTTTTTAAGTGAAATCTGTAACCCGTTTGTTGACCATTGGCATGATCTCTCTTACGGTTAAAGATAAATTTTTGATATATTTTTGTCTTGCTCATAAGGTATTTTTCGGTGTATTTTCCATTGCACAATTGCACCAGAAGATTATAAAAGTTTTGTTCATAATAGATCAAACATAGAATTCTTCCCTTCTTTTGCGGCTATATCAAATGTAAATGAACGTTAGTATTTTTCAGATAAATTTTGTTTAGCAAACGCTATTTAGCCCTAGTTTTCGTCACTGTGAAGAGGTACTTCTGACACGTCTGTCTATTTTATATTGATTGAGGTTCAAGTCATATTTTCTGAGAGCGTGTGTCGTTGCTATATTTTCACTTGTTTTTTTCCATAAACTTGGCAATACAATAACCTCAAATTATAGTAAAATGTAGCCTGAATTGAGGATCTGGATCTGGGTGTGTTCTCTATATATATCTCACACCCATATACACCCACCCACCATAACCCACATGCTCACCCGTGCCTGCACCCATATCCAACCCACGCACCCTCACCCACACTCACACCCTTTCTGGCAACGGCTTCTAGACCAGATGGACTATGTAACGAGCTGAGTTATTTTATCACAGTGATTACCTACTAGGATTTCGTTTTATTAAAAAATCAACTCTTCAATGTGATTTAATCATAAGATGCGTATATGACCACAATCCAGAAAATGGTCATTTATTGTGTTCTGATAGTATTGATTAGCTTATTAACGATTCAGCGGTTTGAACTATCTTTTTATAGATAATAATTTAATGTCAGTTGTACTTACACTAATAATTTCGAATCAAATGTATATATCATTGGACAGATATGAATGCTAACAAATCGCGAATAATAGGCTTTTTCTGGTGATATGATCCTCATAGAAACTTAAATATCTTTAGAACAGTACGACATTTTTTCGAACGCTTTGTGTACAAATTCATCAGACATTTGTCCGCATAATATATTCTGAATTGAACAAAATTGGTGATCATCAATAGAGCATGTTCGGTTGTAACCT